GGTGGGGCTTAATTTTCATAAAGAAAACTACTCACAAGGTTGCTGAAAACTCTTCGACAGCCCACGACCAGTTTCGCCCTTCTTGGGGCTCATCTGGTAGTGGGGCTTAACTTTTCGCACATGCACTTTTTGTATTACTGATATTTTTAATCTGACTTTTCACCGACTGAAGAGCATCTCTGCCTGTAAGTGTTTCGTGGTAAGACAAGACCGACTTTCCACAGGACTTCTTGTACGAAAGATGACCTGTCTGAGTGTTTGGTCAACTGTATTTATGCAGATGTATACCGAACCACCGTCTGTTTCATTCCAACGGTTCGGTGTGAGCGATCAAAACAACACCAGCGTGCACTTGACCCCCCGATTGTTTTCACTGTTTTGGGTGTGTACTGTGTGTCTCGGGTGAACTTTGAGGTCACTGACCATCGTCTGCACCGGTAGGTTGGATTCGGTGCAAGACGTAGCGTTTATTACCACATTTGCTGCGATACGTTTTCTCTTACAAACGACCGGATTGTACTTTGCTTTCCAATCCTTTGTGGACTCAAATACACTGCGGTTCTTAATCTGTAGAAGGAAGCAATTTAGCGTGATTCATTCCTGTCCCGTGTGCATTTCGGTTCTTTTAGAATACTGATTGCACTCTCTTTACGTGTCAACATGAATCATGGCGACCCGACTTATACGCTCATTTGTATACCAATTTGGTTTTGAGAGAACCCAGCTGAAATTCTGGTATATGATGTTCGAAACTTGGAGGCTACGCCTACTTTCCAAGCTTCCTTCGAGTGGCATTACAGCTAGGCAACAAAGGGTTGCTGGAGCTGGACTCTTTTTTCATTTTATTCCCTTATTACGGCTGTGAGCTAGGCAAGAAAAAACCAAAGTGCCTGTACGGGACTCAAACCCGCGAACACTCACCTATCGCTTAAGTGACCTATTGGCTGATCTGAAACAGAAATTTCCTTTTTAGCTTCTCCAGGCATGTTCTCCCCGCTCCAGTGCCTTAGTTTCGGAAAAATACTTGCCGACTAATAACACGACAGCTTTTTTCAACAAGCGAGTGCAAAACTTACAACGGCCTGGTGCTATTTAAAGGGCACTTTTTGACATTGATCCAGACTGTCCGATAGACGTGGATATTGATCAAGGCTGTCTGATCTGCGTCTAATGAACACTCATCAACATCGAGCGTGCTTCTACGAAATGCCTGCACACACGTGCTTCTGTGGCGTGCCTGAGCACTCATCGGCCGTTGATTGAAATGACTGATTGCTTGGCCTGAATGTTTGCCGGCTTCCCTGCTGAGATTTTGGTGGAGTTTTAGGGCTTCCGTGGGTTGCGGGCGTTCGGTGATTATTTTCAGGAATCTGATCTTCCTGACAGGCCCATCTTCCAATTTGAATTCATTATCATCGTTGAGTCGGAGGTCATTCTTCTTCTACATCTGACCGCTGGTTTCGCTCCTCAAGACTTCGGTAGGAGCATTGACCTTGATTGCGCCAGCCCAGTTAGATTTCGTCAGCCTGAGTGATATGGTTGTCCCAAGCGGTCTCTCACACCCAAACGGTCCCAAATGTTCTCCGTTCTGTGCGTAGTCCAAGCTCTCTTTTGACGTTTATCGCCAGTGTAGAACCTTTTTCACTGAAATGGGGATATTCTCGTCATGTTCTTGAAGCACCTCCGGTGACTAACGGAGAATGCCAGTAGGCGTGATCAGCCAGGACGAGTAAACTGTCTTGTTATCAGATTTGAAGTTGAACATTTGGACACTATATACACCGAGATCTTCCCGAAGGGGGGGGGGCCTAAATGCCGGGAAAGGGGGCGTGTGGTGAGTCGGAGTCCTCATTCACACAAAGGCGCTATACCATCCCTTCTCTCTTGCCCACTAATTCATTTATTCTCACCCGCAATCGATCCACAAGCGACCTGTTTGTCTTCGACGTGACAAGAATCGTGGACCAGATGTTCTACCCTTGTACGCTTGGAAAACAGTACTTCCCTACCTGATTTTGCCCAGAATAGCCTGTCTAATTTGTGCATGATTACGCGAAAGTTTGTTTAAGATCCGTTCCCATTTCCTCAAGTTTTTTCAGGGCCGGGTATTTCGAAAGGACTGAAATTTTTGAAGCACTCCTGATCCACTTAGTGTCAGCCACACTCTACGCCTAATATGTGATTTGGATCGTGCCCGAGTTCACTAAAAGTAGCATTATGGCGAGACTCTTGAATTACATGAAAGCATTTGATGGCGGGGACACGTCGTTTGGTGCCGAGCTACTTAAGAGGTCGTAGGAAGTTTCGCGCTTCTAATGGAAAGTCTTTTTTGAATCTTACAAGCGTTACACGCCTCAAACGTTTGTTTGACCACACTTTCTATGCGTTTATGTCTGTTTTAAATACATCATTCTGAGCCCTAGTCCATGCTTCGCGAGTATTCGAATGTGTTCACAACTCTTGGTTTTGAGAAATCATTGTCAAGTTGGCCACCTAAACGACCTCGCCTTTTGTTTTCGAGGCACAAGAGTGTCTCGGTACATCTTGCAACCTTCCCTCAGGTGCGTTTAATTAAAATTCCCGCGCAACAAAATAAGGTTGCTGAAATCTCTTTGACAGCCTTATAAGTAGTGTGTCCCGTTAGAAAAGTATGTTGCGACATCTCGAATATGGTATCCGCTGAAACATGAGGTATCCTTTGTGCGGCACATTCAAATGACAAAAGAGGGATGCGGTTTGGAACCAGTTCAGTCCATTTGGGTAGAAACTTAGCTTGCAATTTGTAGTGCACTACTCATAAGGTTGCCGAAAATTCATTGCAACTTATGAGTAGGCCACGAAGGACGATGTTGTGTTGCGGACACCAATAAGAGTGAAATGAAGCGTCATTATGTTCGTCCACTTATACTCAGTACTAGTAACATCACAAACGAGAGATTCAGCTGGGTTCCAGGTGAGTCTCTCGCAAAACCAAATTAGTTTGCAAATGAGTGTATTTCGCTGGTGTTTCGTGTCCTTGAAACGTCTTTCAAACTATCACAGCCGATGACTAGGCAAACTGTTGCGCTGAGTCCAAAGCTTGCTCTTTGGATCGGTTTCTAAATATAGTAGTTTCCTCTTTGCGGTTCTCTTGCATTCCACATTAGTCAGAATCTTACTGCATGTGAAAATTGATCGCTGGTAACATGGCATCACTACAACGTCCTTTTTACCGAAGAAGGGATGCCATTGAAAATAACTTTACCTTTTCATAAAAGTAACCCCTGTTTTGAATATCCCTTTACGAATTTCAACCGAACGATTTCAGTCAAAAGAAGAACATTTTATGCAACATTCTGTTGCACGAATGGTGTTAATTTCTAGCATATTTGACACGAATTTGCTGTGCAGACTAAACGACACGCCTGCAGTTTATTTCGGATGTAATTCAACTAAGATCCATTGGTTCACATGCAAAATCGTTCCTCAAACTTGACTTCTCCAGGTTATACAGGATCCCGATGTGAAGTCAATTCATCTGCAGAAGCAAGTAGATCAAATCCGAGCAAGAGTTTTCCGCTTGAGAACGGACAAGCCCGTTTCCCCATGAACGATATAAAGGACTTATCGGATCCAAGTAGCCGATGTTCTGCTTGCCCACCGAATTTTGCCGGAGATGGCATCTGCCAGGTTGATTGTCTGCTCAACGGCTGTGCCGGACCTCGTGAGCTGGAAGATTGCGAACCGTGGTCCAAGTGTCACGACGGGGCGGCGGCTGGAACCGCGTTTCCTTCGAAGCAGTGCATAGAAAAATTTCACGATACCCGGTGTGACGAGCAGTGCAGTAATGAAGCTTGTCACTTTGATGGATTCGACTGCGCCTATAACAGGTGAGGGCAAGATCTATATCGAAATACACTGATTTGCAAACTAATTTAGTTTTTCGAGAGACTCACCTGGGATTCAGCTGAGTCGCTCGTTTGTGATGTTTCCAGTGGGCTGTCGATGAATTTACAGCAACCTTATGAGTAGTGCATTACTAGGGTTTATGTCGTTTTGGTCAGTGCAAGTTGTGTATGTGAATAGGTTCCGAAAGCTGATTGGTCCGTACCAAAACATCGCCTATCCAATCAGGTTGCGAATCACGAGAACGGTATAATACGGCTGAGTGGCACACATCCTGAAGCGCACTGAGAAAACAGGAAAAATCGCCTTACGCGGCAGAAGCCACGAAGGACGATGTTGTGTTGCGGACACCAATAAGAGTGAAATGAAGCGTCATTATGTTCGTCCACTTATACTCAGTACTAGTAACATCACAAACGAGAGATTCAGCTGGGTTCCAGGTGAGTCTCTCGCAAAACCAATTTAGCCTGCAAATCAGTGTATTTCGCTAATTTCGTGCAATTTGGTTTCAAGTGGAACATAAGGTTGACGGAAACTCGGGGACTGCGCCTACCTGATGAGCCCGAACTGGAAGGGCGAAATCGGTCATGGGCTGTCGAAGAGTTTTCAGCAACCTTGTGAGTAGTTTCCTTTGTGAAAACAAACGATCGTTCAGCTGTGGCACGCTTCCAGCGCATACCTACCATTCAATATGAAATAAGCACGGGGGCCAATATACTCAGTCTTTCCAAGCAGAGATAGGATAAGCCGGAATGCTAGGGTTGGGTTCGAGAATGAACCTTCGGGAGGGTAGCTTCGCAGATGAGTTATCTGATGCCGAATATACCTGGAAAGAATTTGTCCAGACAGAGAACAATTCCAAGAGGGGCTCAATATTCCTTTTTCATGTGAAGGTTTAGCTCTGAGGACTTATCGTAGTGGCACTTTGGTGTGCTGCGAGATTTCCCTCCTATACTTGTAATGGGGGCCGGGATACCGCCGGAGCTCACACACCCAGAGAGGAGGACGATTAGGGTCCTAGACCAAGACCTTTGTCTCAAAACTCCGACGGAAAGTTAGCGATGTTTTAGAGGAAACGCAAGTGCATTGTCTTTTTCAGAGAACCAGTTCCAACCGTCAACCCAAAGGACCGGCAGGCTGTGTTAATCATAACTCTAGCCTTCGATCCAGCTGATATAAGAGGCACTATAATTGTCGCGCGGACACCGTCCACTACAGTTCAATGGAGGTAAGATCCAGTCTCTTCGCGACAACCTACAAACACTGTCTGAGAACGAACGGGCCGCTAAACAACTGGTGCCCAAGTGGGGTAGAGCATCAAAATGATCCCGAACCTGGGATAGAAAAAGTGGTAACACGAAAGGTAACGAGAATGTATGCAGATGGTGTCGCTCATCGTGTCAAATGATCCAGTTGACTTGTAGGTTCGAGCTTCCATAACTATGTCGTTATATGGTTTTTCCAGGATGTTGGCAACAGAGATGAATCAGTTTACGAATTTCTCGATAAATCTAAGTCACTTACGGTTTTAAGATCTCGTGCTTCGTACAGACCAAGTTGAACTCGCCAACTGGTAACTTAAACGGTATATTAAGGATTCTTCATAACGGAAGACTCGTGTTAAAAAGTTCACCTCGTGCTTATTTCTGAGTGTCGATCTTAATCGGATTAGATGATTTGAATCTGTGCCGGGTATAAATACACTGCTTAGTTACTCGTGAGTAGATACGTAGATTCGAAAGATTGTGGGTTCGAACCCCGTCGTTACTTGAGGTGCGCACTGCTGATGATCAACAACAAGGATACGACAACTGTTCCGTGCTTCTCAACTGTGACTGCACTGCACAATGACGTTCACGCTTGTGCACTGCGACGTTTAGGAATCAAAGTGTCCGGCTGATGCCTCCCGAAAGTTGAGAGTTTCATTTCATTTGAGAAGACTCATCTAGATCTACCTACTTTTTTATGGCGGCTGTCGGAGAGACCTGTTGTATCGAACGAGTTTCTCCTACGATATTCAAGCACTTCCCACCGTTGGCCATAAAAAAAGCTCAAATCCGAGCCTGAGAACAACTTTACTCAACAAAGAGAAACATGAAATTCTGGGTGGTTGGCTCCGGAACTAGGTTGTGCCAAACTGGGACAGTTCTTTCAGGTTGAATTTGTTCATGTTATTTTTTTCGTTTGACCGAGAAGGGGAGGTGTTTGGCGTTGAACAAACAAATGTACGCCAATAGACTATGTTCTCACGTTCCGTGCTAAAAGAAACTGTTTAGCTTGCGTCTAGCCTGATTTTAACTATAAACATCACGTGTGCCAATGAAATGGTTCGGTTAGTCATGTGACGCGGTGGAACTAAAATAACGGTTCGCAACATAACTCAAAGAGATATGAAAACCTGATGGTATTCGATGAGCGTTGATGCGATGGTTCTATAATCAAAACCATACCGCTGAGTCTTTGAACTGAAAGGTGAGTTGGTTCATTTTGTCACCGAATCAACAGATAAAGGGCATTATCATCAGCTTCAAACACCTCATACAAAGACTTCCTTACTGTATGACTGCTTATCAGTTATTCTTCCGTCCAGTTTGAAGTGAGTGGCGGAAGTGTGCGATACTACTTGCAAGTAACCATGAGTATCACAGAAATAAGAGGTCATGGAAATTCGTAGTGCTCCACTCATAAGGTTGCTGAAAATTATTCGACAGCCCACGATCGGTTTCACTGTTCTTGGGGAGGTAGGCGCAGTCCCCGAGTTTCCGTTTCCAACTTGGAACCAAATTGCACGAAATTATCGAATAACACTCATTTGCAAACAAATTTGGTTTGCTGAGAGAACTTCCAACATTTCTATGAGTAGTGCATTACGTCTGTACATGTATGACGATATCTCCTACATCGTATAAACTGAAACACGAGGTTGTCTGTGTGTGGCACATTCAGTTGCTTGAAAACATCACAAACGAGAGATTCGGCCATGTTTCCAGGTGAGTCTCTCGAAAAACCAAATTAGTTTGCAAATGAGTGTATTTCGGAAGGCCATCTAGCTTAAGCGCAAATCGGTTCACCCCAAATCCAACACTATCGCGGGTATCTCCTGAACGATCACGGTACCGAGTTCTCCCCCGGCTCATCCCTCTGCTTCTTACATGTTCACATTTGATGATTTCTAAGATCACTAACTTCCGCTACTCCAGTAAAGTATCCAACCAACCTAATTTGGTCAGTCTGAATACGACTCGACTAATGGCAGTGATAAAATGTGGTTGCAGCGTGATTGCTTCCCGTCTGTAGCTCAGGTCACCTCTGGGTTGCTTGCGCTTGGCCGTTACTGTGAAGTCGGGTGATTTTGTACCCCACTGTACGATGCAATAACCAAAGTTCACGATGTCTTGACAAAGTGATGGATTAGACGTGTATTCGCTACAGTTGTTTAACGATCTTTAATCTTGTATCTGTCGCTTCTTGGCTCTTTGTAAATAGAGTCGCTTTACAACTTCATTCATCGTGGATACTTTGCATCTCTGACAAACTATTCTTAGAGGAAACTACTCACAAGGTTGCTGAAAACTCTTCGACATCCCACGACCCGTTTCGCCCTTCCAGTTCGTGCTCATCAGGTAGGCGCAGTCCCATCAGATGACTTAGATGCTCAAGTGACCATGTTAACTTGGTGTGTAAACTGTTTTACCTCTTTTGTCAACTGTTGACTCCAATTCTCTTCTTATTCAGTTCATATTGCCAAGAAACCGCTTACTGTCTGGAAAACTACGCAGATGGAATATGTAACGCGGTCTGCTCTGGGAGTTCCTGTGGGTTCGATGGCGGTGACTGCATTCCACAGTTCGAACTATCGAATGCCTCAAGTGTTGCGGTGAAGTCTCAAACACCGGAGCCCACGCTTTTTCTAGTTGTTCTGAATAACAGCATGGAGACTTTTGCTACACACCGTCAGGCGGTTTTGTTCACTTTGGCCAGCCTGCTTCACTCGGTCGTACGTGTTTGGAAAGATCGTCATTCGGGTGTTGAAATGCTGGCTAACTTGTCCAACAAAGCTGGCGTAAAAGTGAGCTATTGTACTTTGAATTTTGCTTCCCTTTTTCTCAAGATATCTAGTAGCTGGTGGATTTGCTCTGAACCTGGCGATCGCTTTGTCAACAATCGTCAACAGTCGGGGATACATTGACATCGCCCGACTAGGCATCTATTTTCTTCCTCCCTCATTGTGTCCATATTGCTGCTAATAGAAAAAAGAGCAAACTGTGAAGAGAACCAGTCGAGCACAAGGAACACATAGGGACACGTGATTGATAGCAGATAGCCCAATGAGATTGCAGGAAATCTGCCCTCCAATGAACCAATCAATTTGGAGATATGCTCTTCAAAGCCCGAAGGCGCGCGGCGGAGAACAAATGCCTACCTTTGGTGATATTCATCAAAAAACGTGCAAAATGGCAACCAAGCCCGAAAAATCGGCAAGAAACTAATTGACACACTCCAGTTTTTAATACTCGTTGGATACAATGCTAACCACGGAAACATTCCTCGTGCTCATGGTCGTAGTTCGAAAATCAACAAATCCTAGCTTTTAGCAACTTTGTTTTTGTGTTCCATCTCGACGAGTCTGGGTGAAAAGTCCAGGATTCACTCGAAGTCTGTCCACATCATTAAGTGGTCGAATATTGAAAGGACTTACAGTGATCCTCTCTACATGGATGCCCCTTTCAGCGAGCGGATAAGGTCAAAATAACAGTTGTCTTAAAGTCCTGCAAATTCGATAGAGATAAAAATGGTACTCCAAACTTTGCATCGACAAACTTTCAACACACTTCTGAACATAATTTCACTCCTGACAGACAATCAGTAGTTTCTGTCTGCCTGTTTGATCATAGGGTCACAGTAACGCCCTGTATAAACAAACGTACAATTAAAACATCCTCAAACTCTACGAACCTACCACTACCTAGGTGGGACAGATAACTTTTCGTTTCCATCCTCATTAGAAGTGCACTGCTATCGACCCGTGATCAGCGACGCAGGGTCATCTAGAGGAGTTATCGTGACTGTGTTTGATTGACCAGTTATCGGGACGGTGTGCCGATCAACGCGAGATTTTTCGTACGCAAAGTTCATGTGTGCGGGTTTGTGCAAATACACCTGTGTGATGATAGGCTGTTGAAAGCCACATCAGGAACTCAAATAGACCGCTCCTTGTTCCTTACACGGGTTCGTAAACGATTTCTGCTAGCCTAAGGAGCATAGGCTGACCCGAGATCTCGAGATGGTCAATCCCAGTAGCGAACCTCGTTGCACGGGTAACTGGTCAGAACTTTAGTTAGAAATAACATTTTGACGCAATGTATTTTGCTGTGATTCGTGCTGAGCCACACTCAGTTGAAAACCCAGGCGCTGCTCACCCGCAATATTTTTCTAATGGTTGTACTGACTGAACACGGAAAGGTCACAGCATGGTTGCCACTCTCAACTAGAGCTCCAACCGTCAACCATACACCTTGATCTACCGATCTGCTCCTGCTGGCTAGAATGTGATGCGGACATGTACGAATGCCGTCAGCCCATCACGTTCTAATCTGGCTGAAACCACACAGCTATTCATCTGTTACTCGGATACACCTTCTTCAGAAATACGGACCTCACCAGTTGGAAGGAGATGTTTGACTCGATTGGGGTGCCATACACAGAGAGTCTCATAATAGACGCAAAATTTAATTGGGTGATTAAACATAGATAATTAAAGGAACGATAAAAAAATTTTGTCTTCAGTAGCCACCTAAATGAGGTTTTGTATGCAAGTGTTGACACTCTTTTATATTGGTCAGGGCGCCACCGCTGCCCGTCGTGGTTACAAAACCAAACATGGTCTCATCAAAGATCCTTTCACAGTTACACGCTTGAATCCATTGGATTTTCCTGGCAAAGGGAGAAAGTTTCTGAGTGATGAAAGAGCGCCCACTGTACAGAATGCCGTCGACCAATTTCAGTCCCAGAGCACCATGGCATCTTCGTCAATAACTCAGGTGTCTCAGTTGACCGGCA